CATAATAACAATCAAAGAAAAGATGTTGGATGGTTTCAAGTTTATTAAAAAACAACAAACTTTACTACCACTCCAATTCCTTCTTGCTAGATTATCCTTTGTTAAAATTACCCCTTTTTCAGGAACCACATGAAGATTTTGTTTTTTAGGGGTATCTTCATTTGCCATATCTCCAGCGTGACTTTCAAACCATTGCTGACAAGGAACTTATACATTGAATACACCGAAATGACCTATTTTTATGTAAACCCTAAACAAAACTATCTAGCATATTGTTGAGGGTAACATGCATAATACTAGCAACTAGGCTATGCCTTTCTGTTAGTTTTGTTCCCACCAGAGCCCTTCCGAAGGACACATGTAGAGGAGCAGTTTGCAGAACCTCAGCTACCGTTGCTTGCTTTTTGTGCACCACATTGTATAGGTTTGGATATCGGGTTTTAAATGCCTGATGTCCCAACCACTTGTCTTCCCAAAACCTTATTTGAGTTCCATTATTTAATCTAAACCAACCTAGGTTTATGATCTGATCTTTGACACCCATAAGGCTAGCCCAAAAATGGAAATCCCCTACTTTCTTTTCAACTTGGCTCAACATTTTATTTTTCAAGTATTTGTTTTTAATCAAATCCTGCCACATGCCTTCTTCATTACATAACTTAAATAACCATTTACTTTACAACTCTAAATTCATAATTTCCATTCCACCTTGGTCTTTTGGCTGGCAAAGAATAGGCCATTTGACTAACCTATACTTATTTTTTTCCCTGATCATATTGCCAAAAAAATCTAGATCTGAAGTATTCAATCTTTTTTAGAACATCCCTAGGGATCGAAAAAAAGACATCATAAACATCGATGGACTAAATAAAACAGAATTTATCAGGACTAAACACCCCCCAGCTGCTTAATTTTTTCTCGATTCTAACTTCTATCACTTTCCAGTCTTTATTTGATAGTCTTCTAACATGCATTGGGATGCCTAAGTACTTAAAGGGGAGTTGTCCTAGTTTGCAACCAAAGAGTTGTCAGTATTGTTCCTCACACTCTTTGGCCTGCCCAAAACAAAAGATGTTACTTTTGTGATAGTTAATTTTTAGACCAGACAGTTGTTCAAAGACACAAAGTAACAATTTCATATTCTTTGCTAAGTCGATGTTGTGGTCTAAAAAAATAACTGTCATCAGCGTATTGCAAAATTGACAGTCCTTCATCAATTAGATGTGGGATTATTCCCCTAATAAGACCCTCCTGTTTGCCCCTATTTAAAATAATTGCCAACATGTCTGCCACTATGTTGAACATGATTGGAGATAAAGGGTCTTCTTGCCTGAGGCCTTTTTTGGTCTGCAAGTAAGGTCCCAAATGATCATTTATTTTAATCCCTACATTTCCTCCTTGAACCACCATCTTAATCCATTCACACCAAGTTGGACGAAAACCATTTAGTCTAAGTGCTTGTTGTAGAAAATTCCAATTTACTTCGTCATAGGCCTTCTCAAAATCGATCTTAAAAATCACTCCATCTTTTTTTTCCGAGTGTGCAGTTAGTGTAGCATCTCATGGAGAATCATTGCCCGCTCCATAATATTTCTACCAAGAATGAAGGTCGTCTAGGATTATTTTATCTGCAATTTTTATGATTCCGTTGGTAAGCACTTTAGTAAAGATTTTAAAGCAAACATATTGGTCTGTATTGCTGAATTTTGCTCGCATCTTTACTTTTGGCAAAAGGATTATTGTTCCGAAGTTCAGGCTATGGAGAGGTAACACCCAAAGAGTGCCAACAAGTCTTTTATTATCGTCCAGAAGACCTGATAGAACTCAGAAGGGAAACCATCTGGACCTGGCGCGGTGTTATGTTTCATTTGAAATAAAGCCTCCCTAACCTCTTCTTCCGAAAATTGTGCAACTAACAGATCATTTTCCTCGTTAGAAACTTGGGGTATGTCATCCTAGTAAGATTCAGCCATCATCACGGGAGGGCTAGATGTTGGGCCAAACAAGTTCTTATAATATTTTGTGATATATCTTTTCAGCTCTTCTTCACCATGAATCACCCCCTCTTTCTGGAAAATTCGTGTTTTTCCTGTGCCTGCCATTAGCTACCAAGTGGAAATATTTCGTATTCGCGTCCCCTTCTAATAGATGGAGCTTGTGCGCGTCTCTTAGGTATTCTCCGAATTGCACTTTATTAGTAGTGATTGTGTTTCTTATAGTGCTACAGAGAAGACAAGGTTGTATTTTGATTGGTATTATTTAGACTCTGAAATCAAACAATGCAGATGAAACTAACAATGCATTCATCATGATTATGAAGCTGAATTTGATTCTGGAATCTTATTTGATACAAATATTTAGGAGTGCATCTGGTTTTGTATCGTGTGCTTCCCTGCAGGCTGTTGTTGGTTCTAGCCTTGATGCAAGTGTTCCAGATGATTCTCCATCGACGACCAAGTCACATAAAAGTGTAACAAAAACACGAATTTTGTTGTTGGCATTGCTGGAATAAATTTCTATGATGATCATTCTGTTTGCTTGTTGCATGATATCCTTATGTTGATGTAATGTGACGGATTAATTCTAGGACTCGTGTATCGCCTGTCAAAGAAACAACAAACAATCTTTTACTGATAAAGATACTGGTTTCAAAAATCAACCATCTTACGTTCAAGTTTCAGATACCCCTTGTTATAATCTGTAAACATCATAACTGATGTCCTTTTCTGTTTACAGTGCCATCAAAGATACATAATCACCAGAAGATGAAGATCACGATGCTTTTGACTAGACCAGTTGTAGACAACTATTTATGTGTTTGCATAGATGTGACATGTTACGTTGTTGTGCCCAGCTCTGTCTTTCGAAAACTTCATGGCTGCGAACTAAGTAGTTTGTTTCTCTCCTGTCTCTAGCGCCGTAAATCTGTCTAATGATCTCTATGCATATTTGGATTGGCATTCTAAGCCAATGATGTTCGGTACTCATGAATTCTGACCGTGAAGTGTAATGTATGACTCGATAGAGTGGTCATGCATGTAATGAATGGCTGTGTAATGTATGGCTGAATAGAACCACGATGGCGGCAGGGCCTTACAAACCGTGCTATACGTGATACTTTATATTTTTGTGCTATGCATCTAATGATATCATATCCTTGATCTTGGATACTGGTACTATAGTCATAGCGATAATGCCCATGCTTGGTATCTTATCCATATCTGCCATTCATAAATTGGTTTTGTTTTACAAATCGGGCGCCTAATGCTCTAGTATATGTTATAGTATACTATGGAACTGAACTACCGAAGGGTGGACTAGGGGTGGTCGTGGCTCACCGATGACGACGAGTACGACAGTCACGAAGAAGTTGAGCACGCTTGAGATGCGGAGGTGCTCCATGAAGCAGAACATCCATGTCCCCGAGCAAACACCTCTTTGCGTAGGATTGCAGTCCAGAAACAAGGTAACAACAAAGGCGGTGTAGGAGTAATATAATACACCGCTCTTGGCTGTATTATTAGCCTTGCTCTTACGCGCACATGAGGCCTCTTACGCGCACATGAGGCGTCGTCAATCCTGGCCGGCGTGAGGCGAGCAGTTGCCATATGGAGACAGTCAGACATGCGTCGGCGTTACAAAAGAATTTTTTTTAACAACATCGTGACAAAAAGAATTGAAGAGCGGTTAGACGCCACCGATGGTTTCTTGGGCCGGGCTCCGAGTAATGTGACTGTTGGAGGCCCCAATAGGCAATACGTAGGTCGCTTGCTGCCCTTCTCTCTCTCTCTCTTTTGAACATAAAGTCGCAAGCTGCTTCGCAAATTAGGAATTCTCGATTTGTTGTTTTCTACGACGGCTTTTATGAACAATCAGGACGGTCTTGGGCCTCTACAGGCTACAGGTTAAATATGTACATACATAGACAAAAAGAAAATGTTAAAGCAATTTTTTTTGACAAGAGAAAGAACAAAAGGAAAAAAAAACAACCAAAACCCTATAGCCATTCTCGAAACGATTCCCCATGTTTTTATTTTTGAAATTTTCACCTCCACGCGTGTTTCCTCAAACTTGTTTTCGGAATAGGACAAATTGGATTTATCTTTCACTTCTTATTGGAAATTTTAGTGTCTGCTTAGAACACGTTGAAGCCAGGAGATGGTGTAACACTCCCAATCCCGGCGAGCTCACAATGATGAGGACATAGAAACTCCAACAAGGTAGCCGGTTCTATTCGAGATACGGCGAGAAACCGATCAGGTGGTCAGTTGGGTCAGAGAAATCTCGATATTTAATTCTCAATTCGAACGCTCTCTCTACATTTGACCCCCTAATTTGGAGGGCCTTTAGAAATTTGACCCTGCGCACGTGAATTCTTTGAATCCGAAGGATTTCTCAGATTTTCTCCCATTTCTTATTTTCTGTGTACCACACCTTTTTACTTTTCCTTAATTCGTATATTCAAACCTAAAACGTCTAATATTTTGGGATGCGGGGAGGAGGCTTGTATTTAGAACATTGCATGCATGTCTCAGTTATCTCTATAATTCCACTTTTCCACTTCCTATATTACTGGTTTATGAACATTGGTGCCATCTTTTTTTCCCTCAACGAAAGGGATTGCAGGAAATTTCGCGTGGCTGCACAAAGGCACGAAAGGTTGCAGGTGACGCAACTTGACTTTTTTAGTTCCGTGTGTTCTCATGGACTAGGGACACGGTATGGTACCTATATAAATTGCGTACCATGCGGCATGGCAATCGCAACAAGCAGGCTCCGATGATACACTCCAAGCTGACACTAGCAATGCCTAATGATGGCGTACGCGCCGTGGGGACGACGACGCCCGTCGCGCGAGAGCCGCTGCTGCAGCGGCAGGACGACGCAGCACCGCCGCGCCCCAGCCGCGCGAGGCCGGCGATGGGCAGCCGCCGCTCGACGCCGGCAGCTTCCCGTGGCTGCCGGCCGCGGGGTTCGCGTACCTGACGTTTAGCTCCGGGATGGCGCTGCACCGGTGCTGGCCGGACCGCGGCGACTCCGCGTTCGTCGTGTCGGCGTACGCCGACTTCCTCCTGCTATTCTGGTGCCTCCGGCGGTACGAGCGCGCGGAGCCGGGTTCCTCCCTCAGGGAGTGGCTGAAGCTGGCGGTGTGGCTGCTCACGTCCGCGCTCACGCTCCTCTTCTCGTACAAGGTGGCCGCCGTCGCGGCGGTCGTGTGGGTCATGGGCCTCGCCACCACCTGCGGTGGGTTCCTCGCTTTCTTCTGCTTCCAGAAGACGACGTGAGCGTGGAACGGTGGAACGTGCGCGCTGTTGCTTGTGACGGAAGCAGGCACTCGAGCGCACTGCACGCGGCGGCAAGGACAGATAAACGCACAAGGGTTGGGTTGTTTAGTTGTGTGCTCCCGGCCAGGCAGCAGCCTGAATCGCTGCCTGGCCGGCGAGTTAGCTCCCAGCCTCCCACGCTCTCCCATCCTCTGGACTCTGGCTCTCGAGCTCGTCCTCGGCTCCTCGCCCTCTCGTTCTCAACTTTCAAGCTGATCTCTCCCGGCCTCGCTGGCTGGGCCGCGGTCCCTCCTCTCCTCTCAAGTAATCTCAGTTCTCAACGCTCTGGCTCCAATCGAAGCTAGGCAAGCGCCTGGACCCGGCAGCAATCTCAGGCGTCCGATTTCAGACGCCTGGGGCTGCCTGGCGGCGTCTCCCTGGCCAGGCGGTGTCATCTCTCCTGTGATTGAAGCACGCAGGCGATGACGGCCTCTTTCGGTCTCCTCGATCGGGCCCGATGGAACGAAATTAAGTTGGCTCTCGTTACCCCCGTCCGTGGGGCGGACGTGGATGATGTCCAAGTGGCCAGGTCCCATTTTCGCCGACGGACATCGCACGCGCATCCCATTTGCACCGCGCGCCACTTCCCGTTGCACTTACTCAGGACGACGTACGTCTGTGGCAAGGATCGAGTAGGTCGTTTTGGGTTAGATCACCCTCATCCCTGAGGTTAACTCCACTATTATATAGAGTACCTCAGGAGAGAAAAAACAATACTCGATCTTTCCCCGGCAGTAGTACTAGTGTCTTCGGTTGAGCTTTCGTTTTAATAAATAAACTAGGTAGCGTATTCGTGCGTTGTTAATAACTAATTTTTTTTTACTAAAACACACGGATCGTATGATAAGATAACAATACTGTTAAATTAAATACCGACGTCAAAGTGACATTTAATTCAAAAAGCAAAGTTCGTGAAATTAACATAGTCACGGAGAGCGCGACGTCGCAGGCTCACAAACTCTACTGTATAGACTTTTTCGTGATACGACTAAGATAATATTTTACATCGGCAAAAAGAATTCTACGATATCCATTTCTTTCATGCGCCAATAAATCCATGAATAAGTTTCGCTGCATCTTAATATAATCATGTACACACAGGTTCGAATATATATGCAAATAGGTTCATGTCCGTGCGTTGTTACGGGATAGCTAAACTTTTGTACTAAAAACACACGGATCGCACGATAAGATAATAATACTGTAAAAATATATGACCGGCGTTAAAGTGACATTTAATCCAAAAAGCTAAGTTCGTGAAATTTACATAGTCACAGAGAGCGTGGCGTCGTAGGCTCACAAACTCTACTGTGTAGATCTTTCCGTGATGCGGCTAAGATCATTTTTTATACCGGCAGGAAGAGATTTCCGATATCCATTTTTTTCGTGCGCCAACAAATCCACGAATAAGTTCTACCACATCTCCATACCATCCTATACACGGCGCTGGCAAGCGAATTAGCCACAACTTATATAATTAGTTTTATAATTAGCTCATATTTAGTCCTCCTAATTGATATCTAAAAATTCAATATGATAGGGACTAAAGTTTAGTCCTGGGATCAAACACCCCCTAACTCTCGACTCTGGCTGGCTGCTCACTTGCACCACCATGCCTATGTGCCTGCACGTATATATTCTAATGCCAGAATGTCTAAGATAGTCTTTATTGTCCACCATTTACAAATATCATAACTTTAAGGTTGCCATTTGTGTATGCTGTAGGATTAGGATGCTTTGCACTGATCCATGAGGGTGTCTATGAGAGTCAAAAAATTTGATACCATTATGATGTCTAAGCTTACCTATCAGACAGAGACGAACTTGATTGTTAAAATATTTTTAACACTGCTTTCATATACTCCCTCTATCCCAAAATAGAATTCATTCTCGCTTCTCGAGAAGTCAACTTTTTTTAACTCCGACCAATTATATATAAAAGAATATTAATATTTATAATACATAATTAGTATCATTACATAGACTATTGAATATATTTTCATAATAAACTTATTTGAAGATATAAATGTTGCACGTATTTTTTACAAACCTAGTCAAAGTTGAGAAAGTTTGACCTGCACGCATCTCATGACGACTTATATTTTAGGACAGAGGAAGTATATGATAATGGGAGTAGTCAACTGAAAGTCATGATGAACACAACAATACTTTCATATTATATGCTAATGGGAGCACGAAGAAACACAGGGGAATGGACCAATATACTAATGGTGGGAATATTCGTTTAGGAAATTGCAGAAGGTTCACCAGTCTCACCATGTATAACTTGCACATCTTTTATTTGGCACCACTGATGTTCTCAAGGAGCAGTCACTTTTTAATTTCAGGTCTACATGCTGAAAACACTAAAATTAAGGACCAACCTCATTGAGTCGTCTTGCTTGATCTTTGCCAATTATCTTGCTTGAGCTTTGCGAACAAATTATACCATTGGCAAAGACTAACATATAAAGAGGTAGAAGTTGCAAGAATAAAGCTAGGCGGCCTACTATGCACCCAGCCTAAATTTAATACACTCTGAATTATGGACAATATCAAATGATCCGGTTTACGTGGAGATGAAAGATATCTGACCGAGCGAGAGAGGGGCACAGCATGATTATTTCCTTCTATGCATGACTATTGTTTCCTTCCATGCATGTGGCCTCAGGTGATCGATTTGTTTCCTTCAAAGCTGGCGGGGATCGCAGGGATGACAGTTTCTTTTTCTATCGCGCGGTGCATGATTATTGTTTCCTTCCATGCATGTGGCATCAGGCGATCGATTTGTTTCCTTCAAAGCAGGCGGGGATCGTAGGCGTAGGCGGACGAACCAAAACAAATGTTGCGCCAAAAAATGTCCACACTTTATTCTTTTTAGTTGTAGGAGATATAAGTGACCAATGTACAGTTATGTAATAATTAATTAAGTGAGTGGGTATGTATAGTGAAAGTTTAAGTTGCCTTTATGTGTATAAGTGTTTCCAAAAACTGTCACAGTATAAATAAATAAATAAAGTGTTTTCATTGATCTTTTTGCTCAAAAGATGCTCCCCAAAGATTGATGCACGGGGCACATGTTGTTAATCTTGTGGATTTAGTCTTGGTTAAGATGCATTAAAAAAACTAACTTCTACCGTCTCCATCCTATAAATAATGCGGTTCTAGTTTTGTCCAAATTAAGTCACACAGGAGCATCGGTAGTGTGAACAGACTCGAAGGAAAATTTAGCCACATACGTGATTTCTCTATCACCGTTCTTTGCAGAGACTAACTATTGCATGGTCCCACGTATCTAAATCTAATTTAACCTGGACTCATATGACACGTGCTCGTCAGTTAGAACAAATTGCGTCTAGCGATAAGCGATACGAAGTCCGATGATTTTGTTATGGGGCTGTTTATTTCGCGGTCTCAGAAATTGCCTGGATTTGCATTTTTGTTATGCCTGTGGTCAGTGTTGCTGTCTGGACTCGATCTACTTCCCACTTTCCCAGGCCAGGTATGCAACTAAACAGCCCCTGTAAGCCCAAAACAAGTACATGCAGTCCACCGAAGGTCCATTGGCTATCAATTTGTGTCCTTTTGATGATCTTTTTATTTTAGTGAGAACTAGAATATATACCAAACTAATACCAATATATTGTTGGTTTTTTTTCACATGATGTTTTCCTTGTTTATTATAGAAAAACAATTATTGGATACAAAAATAATGACAGATAGGTAAAGATATAATACCGAACAAAACAGCAGGTTTGGTACCTTGTGATAGATAGAATCGATTGTTTTGGGTTCAAAGTCTTAGTCTTACAATGAAAGCTCATATTTTTCTAAACTTATTTTTAGGAAGAACTGGTTATTCATTTAGTGGTAAACGTCCCTAGTGATTTGACAAATCTCAAAACCAAATGACTTTTGCTCTTAGAGGTGCTCATAGCAGAAGGGTGTGTATTTGTGTGCATAGAGATGTACTCCTTCGTCCTAAAAAGAATTCAATTCTAACATATTATCAAGTTAAACCCTTTTTAAGTTTGACCATGCTCATATGAAAAATTATAAATATTTATAAAACCAAATAAGTGTAGTGAGATTCATCATATGTTTCTGTAGGTGTCATCAATAATATTCGTACTTTTTTCTATAAGCTTAGTCAAACTCTAAAGTTGACTAAGGACATAACTGGAATTGCATATTCCTTTTTAGAGTGGAGGTAGTATGAGTAAGTGTCTGCATATACTCCCTCTGCCTTAAAAAAGAATGCAATTCGGGATGAGTCAAACTTTCTAAAGTTTGACCAAGTTTATATAAAATAGTACTCCCTCTGTTGTACTCCCTCTGTCTCTAAATATCTGTCATTTTCGCTTCCCGAGAAACAACTTTGACTAAATATATATTAAAACAAATTAATATTTATGGTACATAATTAGTATTATTGGAAATATCTTTGAATCTAATTTTTTAATAAATTTATTTAGACATACAAATGTTGCATGCATTTTGTACAAATTGAGTCAAACTTGCAGCACGCACACCAACAACGACAGTTATTTAGGGACGGAGGGAGTAAGATATATGTGATCCAAGTTTGTCATAAGTCAAACCATGTAAAGTTTAACCAAATTTATAGAGAAGAGTATTAATATCTATTACATCAAAGATGTAAATTATGAAAAAAAAATCATAACATGTCCAATGTTGCTAATTTGAACTCATAACTATTCTTCTTCTTTTCTTTCATTTTAGTCAAATTTAACATAGTTTGACTTAGAACAAATTTGAACCAATTATCTTTTCGGACAAAGGAAGTATTAACATTTAGAGCATCTCCAATATTTTCGAAAAAACAATTGGTACATCAATGATTTTTTCATTGTCTCTAAAAGAAGGTAGAGGGCATATTTGTTGGCTTTCTCAACTATTTTCAATATCTCGCTCCTAAAAGCTAGAATAAAATGTTGCAT